TGTGACAGTTGATAATGCAAGTTCTAACGATGTCATGGTTAAAGAATTATCCAAACAATTTACTAGATGGAACACTAACTTGATGGAAGGTAAGCATGTTCATGTTAGATGTATGGCTCACATCATCAATCTAGTTGTTCAAGATGGGTTGCGAGAAGGGAGTGTGTCTGTGGAACGAATAAGACAAGCAGTTAGGTACATTAGACAATCTCCAGCAAGATGGAAGAAGTTTAAAGAATGTTGTGATCTAGATAGGATAACTTCTAAAAAATCATTGTGCTTGGATGTTCCTACTAGGTGGAACTCCACATATTTGATGTTGAAGGTTGCTACAGTTTATGAGGAAGCCTTTACAAAATATTGTGATATTGATTATGGTTTGATGTCATGTATTTCTAACTGTATTTGTGAGGATGGACAGCCTGCAGGTCCACTTTTAAGTACTGATTGGGATAGTGTAAGACGTATTGTGAAGTTTCTTGAAATATTTTATGAACTCACCTTGAAGGTATCAGGTACACTTTATATTACGTCTAATGTGCACTTTCTTGAGATATGTGTTGTTGGTTCTTCTTTGAAAGAGTTGATGCAAAGTGAAGATGCTACCTTGAAAGAAATGGCAAATAATATGAAAGAGAAGTTTGATAAGTATTGGGGGGATCCACAAAAGATGAACAAAATGATTTTTATTTCATGTGTGTTCGATCCACGCCACAAGTTTCAATCTCTTTCGTTTGCTCTTGCTGCCATGTTTGGAGAAACAATAGGTGTGAAAATACAAATTGAGGTGAAGACATACATGGAATCTTTGTTCAATGTGTATGCAAAGAAGAATGGTGGTTCTGGTTCATTTCCATATTCTCCATCTTCCGGTTCATGTCCATTTTCTCCATCTTCCCATAGTTCATGTCCATCTTCTCCAACTTCATCTACTTCTTCATCATCGCTTTCAAAATTCATGTTAGATTTAAAGAAGCATAATAAGGGTGAAGGAATTGATTCTAAAACAGAGTTAGATAAATATTTGGGTGAAAATGTTGAGGAAGACATTGAAAATTTTAAAATTCTGGGGTGGTGGAAGTTGAATTCACCCAGATTTTCCGCACTTGCTGAGATGGCACGTGATGTGCTAGCCATTCCTATTTCTAGTGTTGCCTCAGAATCAGCCTTTAGTACCGGTGGACGCATACTTGATCCATTTAGGAGTTCATTGACACCTAGATTGGTTCAAGCTCTTGTGTGTGTCCAAGATTGTCTTCAGAATGAATCAACAACTCCGGTTAAAATTGAAGAAGATTTAGATAATCTTGAACAACTTGAAGCGGGTAAGACTATCTTATTTCTTCTATTACTTTACTTGTGTTTAATGTATACTTATGTTATGTTTCTTTAGATTATTTTTAAACTAATTTATTCTATTACTATCTTATTCTACAGACTTGATTAATACCGGAAGAGAGCCTTGCATCGTCGACATATAAAAGGTACGAGTTCGTGGCATGTTAAAAGTTTTCTTAAGCCTTCTAATAAATTGAACCAAGCTGCTGCATTAAGCCTTCTCTATTGTATTGTTTTGTTCTACCACCAAGCAGTCAAGCTGCTGCATTAGGCTGCTGCACAGGCTGCCCAACTTGACATGATACACATTTACTGACTCTCTCATTTTTTACAAGTGTAGTATTGCAGAACTTGAAAGTGTGCCAGGTTGAGGATTTCAGTTCCAGTGTGCCAGAACTGGAGGTTATGTAACTGTTAGAATGATCAGTAGAACTTGGTTCCATTTTGTGTTTCTGCTCTTCTGCTATGCTTTTGGTCTTGTAACTGTTAGCTATGTTTTTGCTATGCTTCAACTGGGAAATGAATTTGTGCAATATTGTGTACCTTTATGGGTCAAGTACAATGAGACTGTCAGCTTTAACCAGTTACAATACTATACAGTTACAATACTATACTATTAGACATTAGTAACATTTATTAATTGGAATGAAGCCAAAAGTAAAATCTTGAGGTGCTGTAATTTATAGTCATTTGTTTGCTATTTTTGGTCTTTTAAATGCTATTGTATTATGTAACATCCATTATCCATATACAGTTATACACACTCCTTAATAATACGTACAACCCGATCCGAAAATCCGATCACCAAACCGATCCGAAATTTAAAAATCCGATCCAATCCGATATAATTCGGATCGGATTCGGATTGCAATTTTTGGAATCCGAAATCCGAAATTTCAATCCGAAATATGCTAAATCCGATCCGATCCGATCCATGCACAGCCCTAGTAGCGGCTGATATACTTACTTTTATATTACATGTTGTGTTTTTAATGAAATCTTTTATTATGTGTATTAAATTCCTTTCAAAATTATGATTGTTGACAGTGGAATCAAATTTTGCTAATGCGGAAACTCTTACAAAGTGTAAAAAAAAGCGTTTTCGGGGCGAGCGAGGCGCACCAAAAACGTCCCGGAGTAATGGTGTGGGGCGAAAGTCTCAAGAGGCGTACGCCCAGCAATTCAGGGCGTAGGCCCGAGCATTCGGGGCGCATTTTTTTTAGTGAGGCGTAAGCCCCAAAGATTTTTTCAAATTAATACAAAATTTATTAAATAAGTCCTTCATATAATACCCAAATTCTCAAAATTCAACTTGGTAATTACTCAAAAGTTTTAAAATGAAACTAAAATGCATTAAATTTAAAAGTTATGACCTTTTTTTATTGATTGAAGCCCCAATTTATGGTCTTTCCCAATTTTTTTATCTTATCCGCGAGTCTGTTAATAGCTCCCAAAAGCAACGAATATTCATTTTTTTTACACATGCAAAGAGAACTTCATTCTCCTTCGTAGCAGCAAGTTCAATGTTCAAATTGCAGGTTAGTCATCCTTTTTGTTCCTTCATATAGAAAACTTTATTCTTTTCGACTCAAGTTACTTGAGCTTNATATATATACATATACATATATATACTAGTATCTATGAACATACGTTGCACGTTAATAATAACATATGATGGTTTAATCAAGTAATTATATGAAGGCACAACAAATATAATGTATAAAATACAATATTTTTTTAAATACCAAAAATTATTATTACATTATCATAATACGCGAATTCAAAATGATTGGATAATTATGAACCCGTAAAACTGATCAATTTAGTCATGTTAGATAATATTATTATATATTTATAATTTAGAAATATACAATGTGAGGATATCTAACCTAAGATTTTTTTATGGACAATTTTTTGTCTATATTCCCTCCTAATGCGTTGATTGCTCTGTCATTATCAGAACACTTATTGTCGATAGTGTTATCCCTCTTGAAAGTGTAACATATAGTTGTATGTGCGAGAAAGCATATTACGGTAAATATTGTCCAACATTAGAGATTATTTTTTCTTTGTATTATTTATTGTTTTGTAAAATACAAGTGTACAGAAAATCATTTTTGAACAAATTTAAAAGGATATTCTTCATTTTTGTAAGAGTAAAAAAGTTGAATTATAGGGATAAAACTTGTAAACACATTGACCCATCAAAATTTCTATATGTATGACGTTGTCAAAACCTCTACATACCATTCTTGTACTTACATAAGCCATTAATAGATATAAGTTTCTTAATAGCATAAAGAGTGTGAGCACGTGATTTTTGCCCTACAAGAACTACTCCCCAAAAATTCAAAATAAAATAGTTTTGCGTTGCTTGTGATTTATTTGTACTTATATGTGCATGTTCATTTTTTTACTTTAATTAAGAAAAATACAAAAATATATGTGTTGCATTTGAATTTACAATTTAGGATTAATTAAACAGTAATTTGTTTTACGAAAATGAAAAATCAAAAAAATAACGTACTTCGCATTTTTAGGGTTTAATGTCAAATTGTGTGATTATCTTTGTATT